AGTCATTACCTCATTACATTTATTCCTTAAGGAAAATTACCTGAGATTGACAGTATTGTTATTCCCATTTCATAGGTGAGGAAATAGCAGTTCAGAGAGGTTAAGTAACTTACTAGGGTCACACAGCTGGAAAATGACAAAGCTGGGAGCCAAATTTCAGTCCATACTAGTAGCTCTTCTTCATTTATTCAGATATACTTGCAGCAACCCATGCATGTGCAGGCATACACATACACACATATGCACACACAAAACCCCTACCTCCTAGGTCAGCCCAGATAGCTGATGTCCATGAGTCACTTTCCCCACCATGACCTCTTCATATGCACTGTTCTCAGACCCTAACAGCCACTCTGGTATTCAAGAGAGCCCCTGGCCTGACCACATGTGAGCACAGCCTGCTGCCCATACAGGCCCTATCCCTTCCTCTCCACATCCCCACCCCCCAGCAGCTGCAGGCCCTGGCCCAGCTGGGTGTGGCCCAAGGATTTGGATGGATGGATGACTCAAGCTGAATCATGGCCCAGCTGCTCCTTGGTAGCCCTCTCCCCTATTCTGCCCAGAGAGCCTATTTCAAAGGCAGAGGTAGGCCTTTTGGGTGGGAGACAGGGAATGGGGCAGTAGGGATGGAGGTGCTAGAGAACAGGAGTCGGCCACAGGACCTTTGTGCTCTCCCCTCTCTCCTCAGTGAGCAGGTGTTCACAGGCACTCTCCACCCATTCCCCTCCTTCTTCCAGGGAAAGGGGTCCTTCTGCCTGGACACAGGGCAGGTCTCCCTTTGTAAGCCCAGGCCCATTTTGGCTCTCCTGCCCTACCTCTTGGCCCTAATAATAATATTAACTACTCTAATTAGTCACCCACATGTTATAGCTCTCTACACTTTTCAAAGCACTTTCTCATCAGTATCCCTCACTTGTCCTCTGGGGTGGAAATTATCATTCTTCATTTCAAGCTGAGGAAAGCAAGGCTCAGAGAGGTTATGTTAACTGTCCAAGGTCACACAGTAGGTGAAGTAACAGAGCCAGGAAGCAAGCTCAAGCTCCCTGGTCCAGTCTGTGGAAGGTAAGCGTTAGGGCCAGGAGTTGAGCTGCAGTTGGGCATGGTGCAGGGAATGTGGGGTGGCAGGTTGGGGCATCGAAGGGACATGTTGGGACCATGTTGTGGGACACAGTAGAGCATATGGTGGTGTGTAAGGCAGAGGCAGGATTGGTGGCTTGATGTGTGGCAACATCATGACAAAATTGTTATCTTCACTCTTTTGAAATTAATATATTATGGGATTATCTGTGCTTTTAAAACTTCTTTTCATTGTTTCAGGCCAATATCTCAAGGTTAACTAGTCCAAAGCCATGGAGTTTCTACTGAGAAGACTTGAGCTATGGGAACTTTGCTTCCTGAAGTCTCAGTTTCCTCATCTGAAAAAAAAAAGGGTCCCAGCCCCCTACAGGGTAGGCTATTGAGAGGCATGAGTGAATGGCATGCATATTGCCCTTGTGAAGAACTTCACAAATCACAAAGGCTGCTGTTTTCCACTTGTTGTTCTATCTTTTAAAAAAACACCTGTGGGTCCTGGGTGGGTGGGTGGGTGGTGGTGGTGGTGGTGGTGAGGGCTTCTGGAAGCCCAGGAGCAGTGCTGAGAGGGGGAGTGGGTAACAGCTCTTCCTTCCCCCCTGCCTTGGCTGGCCTGGCTTTCCCCCACCCTCAGCCCAGTGCCAGTTTCTAGGCAACAGGATGGCTGCAGGGATGGTTCTGGAGGGGAGAGAGCTATAAATAGGGAAGAGAGAAAACAAAAATAAAGTTCCAGGGGGTGGGGTGGGAGTGGGGAACTGAGAGTGAAACAGGGAATGGTGGGGGCACAGGGACAGCCCCCAGCCCTTCATCGGGGGAGAGGGCAGTTTTCAGGTTAGCCAGCCAGCAAAGGTCCACAGAGTGCTGACAGAGGTGGGGAGGGCTCATTGTGTGCACAACTGAGCAGGATGGGGTAATGAGGATTAATCATTTTTGGTTGGTGGACTAGGGAAGGATTTCAACAGAGTTGAGGGCAGCTGTGGAGGAAAGAGCACAGGCAAAGAAGGGAAGGTGTGGGTCAGGCAAGGTGGGGCTGGACCCACAGTTATCAGGAGGCCTGGCTGGGCTCAGCTGCGCTGACCACACACACCATGTCTGTGCAGACACAGAGAGGTGGGCTCCTCTGTTGCAAGGCTCTCTCCAGATCTTCCAGGCCAGCTCCTTACCATGCAGGTTTCAGTGCCAATCTTGCCTCCTTAGAGGCCTGAGCTGACCACCCAATTTAATGTTAGTCCCACCCCTCCCTGTCACATCATTCTATTTTATGTTCTTCATAAAACTTAAAATGATCTCGATCTGTGTATTTGTTGACACATGGGAAACGAGTTCTGTCAGGGCAGCTACCTGCAGGGCTGTTCCCTGCAGTCCCTCACTTCTAAGAACAGAGTAGATGAGCAACACACACTGTTGTGTGGCTAAACAAACAACGCATGTGGGCAGTATCCACATACATGCATCAACAGATACACTCCCATTGTGTACGTAAGTATGCACACATAGTTCAATACCTCCCCCACATACACACACCATCTCACTGGTAGTCTGCATGACATTGCAAAAGCATGTGTTATCTCCACTCTGCTGCTCCTGTGTTTTCCTTCGTTGGTGGTTTTGTGTGTTTGTCTCCCCTAAGAGCAAGTCCCTTTGGGAAAATTGGGCTTGAGGGCCTTGGTCACTTCCCAACAACATCTCTCAGGGCAGGTAACTGCCTCTCTGGCCTCCATTCTCTCATCTGTAAATTGGGGTTAATAACAAGGAATCCTTGAGTATAGTTTCAAGTGAAATTAATGGAGACAAATGTCAGATGCCTGGGACATACTGGGCACCTGGTAAGTAGCTCCAACCCTGTCACGATGGAGGGGCCCATGAGTTGTGTGTTCCCACACGTGCATCCACAGTTAGAGCTGCCATCTGAACAGAGCTGGCATCTTCTGCTGATGCTTCTGGGCCTGTGCCTGGAATGCTTTTTAAAAGTGACCCTGGCAGCTGGGCTGGTGTGGCTCAGTGGACTGACCATCATCCCATGGACTGAGTGGTCCCATTGGATTCATGGTCAGGGCACATGCCTGGGTTGTGGACTCAATCCCCAGTAGGAGGTGTGCAGGGAGCAGCCAATCGATGTACCTTTCTATCTCTCTCTCCCTTCCTCTCTCTCTAAAAAATCAATAAAAACATATTTTAAAAAAATAAAAGTCACACTGGCAGAATAGAACATTGGTCTCTGAGCAGAAACCAGGCTCAGAAAATTAGGTGTGTGGCTTGGTACCAGGGAAGAATAACTCCCCTCCCCCCCAAACTGGATAGCAAACCTTGTTCTGGCATCTAAAACTGGGGATTGGGCACTGGTAGCTGGCAAGGAGGTGGTAAACTCAAATTCTTTAGCAGGCAGTTCGTGAAAATGAGTGAATAGGGAGAAAAAGGGACAGTTGCCAACTAGAACCACATACAAAAAATTAAACCTTGTGCTAGCAAATTAAACATCTCTATAGGCCAAATTCAACTGGAGGGCCAGAAATTTACAATACCTGTCTACTGTCCAGTCAAACGGGATCTGAAGTTCCTGGCACCCACAGGTGGAGTCACAGAATCCAAGCTCACCGTTTTGTCCCCCCCCCCCCCACATCCGCCAGTTGCCTCCGACTTCCGAAAGATAAGGCTCCGTCCACTACAGGCCAAGGTGACCCCAGCGGACCGATCTCCCACAGTGCTCAAGGCCTTCTGGAGTCTGGCACCATCCCCGCCCCAGCCCCTCAGGGAAAGGGGCAGCGCTAATACTTGGGGTTGACTGAATAGAGTAAGCTCCTTTCCTGCTGGAGTAGGAAAGGGTGTCAGACTAGGCAGAGAAGGGGGTAAGGTCTTATGCAGGCGAGGTTGGGGGGTCCAGCGGCAAAGCAAAGCGGGGGTCCCACCAGGGTGGGAACCCGGCCTCTGTGGGAGTGAAGTAGAGGGAGTCTGTGGCAGACGGCTGCAGCGTCGCATCGGATGGGGCCGAGCCTCCCCAAGGGTGTGGTGTGGGGAGCTTCTGAGCAATGAGAGCAGCACTTACGCCTTGACCCAGGCGAGGCCTCTGCACCGCTCCGTGGTATCTCCGCCCCTTCTGTCCCACACCGAGGCATTGTTGGGGTCCCTCTAATGTCCGTCTTGGTACGCTCGAGGCGGCTGGCTGGCCGGCTTCCGAATTTCTGCAGACCCTCGCCCACCTCAACCCAGGCCACAAACCTTTGGGTGCCTTTCTGGGAGGGTGAAGCTCCGGTTGCCAGAGCTGTGACTCCGGAATAGCTGCCCATCTCCCCTCCCCTTGGGTGGGTCTGTCTGTTCTGGGCAGGTGTGCGCAGGTGTGCGTGCCGGTAAACGTTCTGGGGAGGAGAGAGGTCTATCTGTGCATAACAACGGTGCCCGCGCTGCTGGTTTCTGAGGACTTCGCAGCACACATACAACTGTGTGTGCACCTGCCCACACGTATCGGTCAGCATGCGTGCACCCATGTCTGCACGTGAGCACCTGCCAGGGTGCGTACACTAGGGCTTGCGCGCAGGAACCAGCGTACGTGCACGCATGTCTGCACGCCTGCACTGCATGTGCAGCGAGGTGTGAGCCTGTCCACCCTGCGCTGCGGTGGTGCGGGGCTCCCTTCCTCCCAGAATCTGCAGCAAGCGCTTTAGTGCCCAGCAGGTGGCTCCCGAGGCCGCCTTCCCGCCTTCCCGCCTCCCCGCCGACTGTTTGTCTCAGCCTGGGATGAACCCCCTTTCCCCAGATCATCCCACGGGAGGGTGGGAGATAGAGAAACCGAGGTCTGAGGTTGTCAGTCTCGTATGTGGGCCGAGTGTTCCAGGCCCCAAAGAGGAGAGTGGGGCAGGTTGGGACTTGGAAGCCCGTCAGCCACCCCACCTCCGGCCCCCCCCCCCCCCCCGCCCGGCCCATGTGGCGCCTGCTACAGACAGATCGACTTTATTCATGGATGGACACGCAGGGAGCGGCTGTGCCGCACACCCAGAACACTCTCACACAGGGGTTGAGGGACTCTCCATGCCACAATCACGACACAGAACGTCCGCGCTAGAACCGGACCGGCTGGAGGAGGGGGCATGGCACAGCCTGGCTCCTGGTTTTGGTTAAAAAAAGGTTCTTGGGGTCGATGTGGGAGTGGGGTGGGGGCTCTGGGGCTGTCGGGGGTGGGGGGCGGTGGTGCTCGGAGAACCTCTGTTGGGGTAGGGTAGGGAGCCGTCGCTTTCAGATCTTCGTTTAAAAACACATAGAACATGCTACTTCCACGCAGACACTGGACAGGATGGGACGAGGCTCCTAGTAGCTGCCGCAGCCCCGGCCTTGTCCACGCCCCAGGGTTGGATATGGGTAGGTAGGACATATAGATGGACAGACACTAACAGGCCACAGGCTCCAAGGGGACACCTCGGAGTGAAGGAAGATCTTGTGTTTGGAGGGAAGGGGTAGAAGGACAGCCCTGGCTAGGGAGTGGGTGGAGGGAGGGGAACAAGGACCAGAAAGGGATTGTGCTGCTGGTGTGGGGCCCTCCTGGCCCCTTAGGCCTCTGGCTCATACTCCTGATACTCCTCCTGCATCAGAGGGATTGGGGTGGAGTGGAGAAGAGCAAAAGAGGAAGGGGTTGAAAACCAGGTGGCCAGGCTCTGGATAGGAGATCTCTCCCTGTCAAGCAGGAAAAATACATCTTCTCCCCCTGGGCAGGCAAGGAACTTGGAAGTTGGGGGCAGCCTGGCCAGTCCTGGGCAGGGGTGCCTGGGGCCCAGTGCTACATCCCATCTGTCTTTCCTCCATGCTGACCCCTCCAGGAGCCCAGGTTCTAGAAAATGGGGACCCGAAGCTCTCTGGCCCAACCCTACCCTGCCAGGGACCTCCCACACCAATTGGAGACAGCAGCTATCTTCTGGGATGCCCAAAGCCCCACCCAGCCCTGCCACCCCTCACCTGGGGTGGTTCCTCATAGCTCTCTCCTTCTGGCTCCATCAAGGGCTCTATCAGTGGCTCCTCAGCAACTTCCTGAGCCACCTCCTCAGGCTGCGGGCAGAGAAGGGACAGGGCCTATGAGGGTAGCAGGGATACCCCATACCCCCAATTCCTACCCTGGGAAGCTCTTGGCTGATTAGGGGAAGTCTAGGCTTTGTTGGCAGTGCAACCAGGATTTCTAATTAAATTGTTTATTTGGAGTACCTTGGAAGTGGGATGAATGCATGAGGAGTGAAATCTCTCCACATCCTGCTTGAAGCTGGGAGTGGGGAGTGGAGCAGGGCTCTCCCTACCCTTCTCCCCAGCACCTGGCGGCCTCCTGCACTTCCGTCATTTGGACTGAATGGGATGGGAACATAGAGAGCATATCCAGTCACTTATTTATTTCTACCCCCTTGGGTCAGGCTCTGTGTGGGGCACTGGGACCCCAGAGATAACCCTGGAGTCTCCTCTGGACTGGAGGGAGATGGAGGCTCGAGCTGGGCTGGGCAGGGGCTGTGAGCCATTCCCTTGCCACCTTCTACCCATCCCTCCCCCAGAGCCCTGTGTGGCCTGGTTTCTTCAGCTGTTGCTATTTTAAGATAAGCTGGAGGCAACAGCTCAGTGGTGTTGCTTGCATGTGTGAGCTAAGACTCTCTCTTCCTCCTGCATCTGCTGCCCAGCCTGGCGCAGACCAACAGATACGCAAGTGGGGGGTTGCCAGACACATGGCCAGCCACCTGCAGGTAAGCACATGTATGTGCACAAACACGGGATGGAGCTGGCTACACACACAGTAATAATCTGGGTCCCATACACAGCTGCACGAGGCCACGTGGGCTGACACATGCCTGGACCCTGGGGGGGAACCTGTAGGCAGAAGGGCATACCTCCCTACTTTCACAAATACTACTGTCCCTCCCTATTGGGTAGAGATAAGACTCTTGGGACCCTGGAGGGTTGGCATTGAGGTGGACCACCGTGCACCCTAGTTGCCCCAACTCCATCCAGGCAGCTTCAGCTCCTAATTGCCTGTCTGTGCGGGTCGAATGGGCACAGGAGTTTACAGCTCCTGACCTGGCTCATTCCCCCTAGCATCCAGCAGGTGGAGAAATGTTAGTTTGCTTAAAGTCACCCAGCTGTGATCAGAATCCAGGAAAGAAACATAGTGTTAAAAATTCCAGCTTGAGCCCTGGTCAGTGTGGCTCAATTGGTTGGAGCATTGTCCTGTACACTGAAAGGCAGAGGGTTTGATTCCCAGTCACGGCACATACCCAGGTTGTGAGTTTGATTCCTGGTGGGGGCATGTTCAGTAGGCAACCGCTCCATGTTTCTCTCTCACATTGATGTCTTTCTCTCTCTAAAATACATTTTTTTAAAATAAAAAAAATTCCAGTTCAAGCACATTGTTGGAAACAACTCAGAAGTTCAATAAGAGTAGAAGGATGTATGCCTTGTGGTTTCATCACACATGGATACTGCACAATAAATATATAGACTGGTAGTGTGAGCATGGCTCCCTGTTGAGTGGAAGAAGCCAGGTACAGAAGAGCCAGTACTTTAGGGTAATATTTATATGAAGTTAAAAAACACCCAGCTAATTTGTGGTGACAGAAGTCAGGAAGCATGGATGGGGCAGCAGGGCTGGGGCAGCAGGGCCAGGCCGCAGGTGGGGACAGTGAGGCACTGAGTGCACGCGTGAAGAACCATTCTCAGCGCCATGGAAATGAGAGCTTGAATGAGTGTACCCCTTGAATTCTGCATCCCAGACACCTCCCTATCTCACCCTAGTCTTGGCTCTGGGGGTAAGGACTGAAAGGGGGGTTGAGGGGGTGCTTCTGAAGGGTTGATGTTCTGTCTTGATCCGGGTGCTGGTAACACGAGGGCATTTTCCAGCCTGGCCACTCACTAGCTGTCTGGCATCAAGGAATTCACTTCACCGCCTATCTCAGCAGCCTCGGGTGTGAAAGGAGATGGTGTTTCTACTTTGTAGGAGTATGGGAGGCTTCTGTGATAATGTATGTGAGCAGGCTGGGATGGAGAGATGCTCAGGAACACGCACACAGGCCTTGCAAGGGTTCCCCCATCCCTGGTGGACCCAAAGGGCTGTGATTTGGATTGCAAATCTGTGATCTTGAGCTTCCTCGAGAGAGGAGGCTTGAAGTGTCAAGTGCTGGTAGGAGAAAGGCAGCCTGAGAAAGATGGTTCTGTGCAAATGCCCCCCACAAACAGCCAAGACCTGCCTCTCTGCACTCCAGCTCCCAATACAGAACCTAGCATCATGTTGACCCCAAGTGACTCCAATGATACGGAGCTGAGCTTATCCTCCCAACCACCTTTTCAGGGAGGCAGGCAGGCATGGGATCTTGAGCAAGTCACTGCATCTGTGAAATGGGCTAATTGTGGTGCCTTCTATATAGGGACATTGTGAAGAGTCAATGAATTACTCATGTAACATGTCTAAAGCAGTGCCTGCCCTGACAAAAGGTCAATGAATGGGAACAATCACTGGAAACATAATGATAAGAAATGGGAAGCCTTATAGCTGGTAAAATGCATAGGCAGGACTTGAACCAAAACTTCTGAGTTAAGTGCTAGACTTCTGCCAGGGAAGGAACCAACTGTGCAAAATCTCTAGAGTGGAGGGTAGGGTGGAGTCTCCTCCCACAGCCTGATGGTTACATTCATGTGGAATGCACTCCAATCTTCCAAACCAGATATGAAAGAAGGAGCCACCACTGCCACAGAGGCAGAGTCTGCACTTGTACATAAACAGACATGCAGCATCCCACAGGAGGATGGATATCTATACAGATGTATGGGCCCACAGAGTACATGGTACTCTTCCAGGCACACCTATGGTCACAAGAGCCAGTGGGGGCAGACACAGACAGCTCACGTGGTTATGGGGCCACTGTCTCTTACTGAGCATTCACTGTATGCAAGCCTGGATCTTTATCAGTGGTTCTCACAATGGGGGTCCCTGAACCTGCAGCATCAGCATCACCTGGGTACTTGTTAAAAATGTAAATTCTCTGCCAGGCCGGTGTGGCTCAGTGGTTGAGCTTCAACCCATGCACCAAGAGGTTGCCAGTTCGATTCCCAGTCAGGGCACATGCCCAGGCTGTGGACTAAAACATCTGTGGGGGGCATGCAGGAGGTGGCAAATCTATGTTCTCTCTCATTGATGTTTCTATCTCTCTCTCCCTTCCACTCTCTCTAAAATTAATAAAGAAAAAAAATGTAAATTCTTAAGCCCCACCTCAGACCTTCTGAGTCAGAAATTCTAGGGTTGGGGCCAATAGTCTGGATTTTAACTTGGCCTTCTGGTGACTAGGATGCACACTTAAGTTTTGAGAACCTCTGCTCTATATTACCTCGAATCTATATAAGAGCCCTATTGTGTTCATCTCCCATCTTACAGGCAAAGATTCAGGCTCAGAGACATGATTGGACCTTCCCAGGTCACACAGTCAGGAAGTAGTGGAGTTGGGATTCAGATCTAGCTCTGTGAGGCTCAAGAGCTCACAACCCTTATTCTGCAGCGTGTCCTAATGCAGGCATCTATATGTATGCACACAGGGATAGACACTACCTGGGGGAACATGCTTGCACAAATGACACACAACTCACCCCTCCCCCATGGCCCACACCTGCTCGTGCCTGTCTCAGGGCCTTTGCATGAGCTGTTCCTACTGCCTGAAATACATTTGCCACTTGGCTTGCCTCCCTGGGTGTTAGCTTAAATGTCAGAAAAGCTCTCTCAGCTAAAGTAGCCCTCTCATCCCTTGATGGTCTATCCTATCACCTTGTTGTCTTTTCCTCATAGCACTTAGCCCTATCTGAAATCATCTTGCTTATTGGTTGGCTTTTTACTATATTCTCTCACTGAAATTTAAGTTTCATGAATGCAGGTAACTATTCATTGCAGCAACCCCTAAAACAATTCCTTTCTGGTATAAATACTTGTTGAATGAAAAAAAAAAGAGTGAACAATCAGTGACACATGCCGACATGGCCAGAAGTGGTCCAGGTCACACTTACAAGCAGAATATATGTGCACAGCCACATCTGGGTCATGGTCACAGGAAGCACCACATCTATAGACACCTTCACACAGACTCATTCTGAGCTGAGTCCAACAGGGTGCTGCAGAAGGTGAGGCAAGGTGGCTTGTGTCCCAGGTTTATGGGTGTGCCTGGTACATGTGTGTATTTGCATTCATTCATGTGTGTTGTGGGAAGGTTGCTCACCTTCAAATCAGTGGGGAATTCCTCCTTCTTCACCAGGCCTGTGGCTGCTGCAATGTTCCCAGCCCCAGAGAACACAGCTCCTCCCAGATGTGATGCCTGCTCCTTGGTTTTCTCAGCCACTAGAGCAGGGAGAAGGTTGGAGAAGGGGGTTGGGGGCCAGGGTGAAGGAAGCATAGGGGCCCCCTCCCCTGTAGTGACCAGGACCTGCCTTTCCCATGGAGCACCCCCTAAGTCTTAGGATACCGTCTTCTACCACCCCCATCCCCACCCTCTGGAATCAGCCGGCTCTCAGTCTGGGGGAGGGGAAGGGGCTGTGCCAGGGCTGGGCTGGTACCTGAGGCCACTCCTTGTACTACCCCTTCTCGGGTCTTGCTTCCTGCAGGAAGACAAAGGGGCACATGTAAGGGCTTGAGCTGAGGGAACAGAGACTCTGGCAAGCACAGTGGTGACACAATGGGCAGAGGGACCTAGTGGGCAGCAGGAATCCTGTCCCCATCACTGCCTCCTTGGGCCTCAAAATCCCACAAGTCCCCCCTCATCACTGCACTGAATCCCCCATGTCTACTTCCTCAGGACTTACAGTTCTCCCTACTGTCTGTCCCTCACCACCCCCACCTTGATGTGATACCTGCACCCTTCAGGGGGCTGTTGTTAGAGCACCAGCACAGTGCAAAGAACCAGTTCACTTAATTTTCTGCCTGAATGGGAGCAGGTGAGGATGGGGCGTGGGGGCAAACAGGCTTGTATTTGGAAAGGTGCATGACTGCCCATATCCCACCAATGGGCACCGTCATCTGACACCTTCCCACTCAATTTTCTCTACAGACTCTTCTCCTAACAAGGGTGCAAATTCCTCCTTCTGGCCGGAGTAGAGAGTGCCTGATGGGTCTATGGGTGATGTGCAGATTGCGACCGACACCTATGGCATTGGCTGGGCCTTCCCAGGAGGGTTGCAACTTGGTTACAGCAAAATGTGGGGCTGCTGGGAAAGGCAAGGCCTGAACTGAGGTGAGAGGAGCCCTCAAGGGAGAGGAGAATCTCCTATCTTGAGGATCTGGAAGCTCAGACAGCAGCTGATAGAACCAGAAATGGGTGTGTGGGCAGGCTGACACCCCTGGGAGGAGGAGGAAGGGCCAGGTGTCGAAAGACAAGATTCTCACATCTAAGGCCAGCAAGACCCAGGGACAGGGGGCAGCTGTATAGTACCCATTATTTCCTCCCAGAAACACTTTTTGGCACCTTCTCTGTCCCAGACCCCAGGCCAATCACTCAGTGTCAGATGGGGGTAAGAAAAAAGCAGATTTTGTGCCCAGGACCTCAAGCAGTGGGGAGAGGACCTCCAGCCTCCAGGGGAGGAGGTATTGCTTGGGCCTTGATGGGTGGGGAGCGGGTGGATATGCAGAAAGGAGACTGGAGAGGGTACTCTGGGCACAGGGAACCATGCAGGCAGGGCACAGAGAGACGGTGTGTGTTCAGGGCCTGCACGAAGCACATCAAGGTGGTCTGTGTGCCTGCAGAGATGGGAATAATGAGAAACAAAGCTGGGAACACAGACTGAGGCAGGACCATGCCTCAGGGAGCTGAGGCTTAATAGGGTAGGAACTAGGAGCCATTGGTGACTTCTGGGTCAGGGAAGGAGGCAGAAGAGAGGCCAGAGTGGGGTCCAGTAGGTGTGGGCTCAAGCCTTCTCCCTGATTCCATCACCTCTGCCTTAGCTCTAGCCACCCTTGTTTGGTGGCTACACTACCTCTCAGGGGGCCTCCCTGTGATTTATTCTGTCCCCAGAGGTCTCAGGGACCTTTTCAAACTGAAATCAAATTATGTCAGTCCCTACTTTCCAGTTTCTTGTGGCAATTATAATAATGCTTTGCATTGGTCTATAAGGGCCCCTCATGAACCAGCTCTTGCCCACTTACGGTGCCCTTTGCTCTCCAGCCTCCTGGCTCCTTATTCTCAGGGCTTAGCTCAAATGTCACTCTTTCACCACCCTACCAAAGTGGCCCCAGCCCCAGCCCTAGCCTCTTAATGTAAAATCCCACCATTGGAATGCTGTGTCACCATCAGGAGAGAAAGCACCTTTGAGTCTCTTGTCCTCTGCCACATCCCCAGGAGCCATGTAATGGCTGGCACATAGTAGATAGTCAATAAGTATTTTTCAAATGACTAAAAAGCCAAAAACAGCCCTCTTCAGCCTGCATAGGGGACAATTCTACCCACTGCACACAATAAGGGCCTGAATCACAGAATGGATTCAGTAAATGCCAGTTTCTGGGCCTTGCCTCCATTTACACAAATGACCCTGCAGGCTCCCTCTCCTTTCACATTTAGGATGAAAGATTTAACCACTTGGCCTTTGTCCTGATGCAGCTGCAAGGAGAGGGTACCCAGAGGAGAGACGGCAAGGGTGAAACCACAGGCACTGGAAGGCTGGGAGGCAGGGAGACATGAAAAGCAACTCAGAGGTAGAAGTATCTGGAGAGCAGGGCTGGAAGGGAGTCCCAAAAATATAGAGGGTGGGGATTTGGAGTCCGGAAAGCTTGGCTTAAACTCCAGCTTCAGATTCTGTCAGCTGTATGACCTTGAGCAAGACAGTGAAACTTCTGCAAAAGACTGGCAGCCTGGTCTGCAGAATGGGCAGGGAGCATTAAATGAGGTAATAGGTGTCATGGCATTTCATACAGAACTTGGCAGAGAGTAAGGGCTCAACACCAGTTAACTGTTAATAATGCGAAAAAGGAGAAAAGGAAGATTAACTGCTTTGGTCACTCCCTCAGTCTCTGGCTTTTCGGCTGAATCCCACCCTCACCAACCCTGACTCCCATTCCCCCTCCCGTCCTCTGTGTCCCCAGTGACCCCTGCCGACCCCACCCCATCTGCTGACTCATACTCTCCTGCCCAGATCCGACCTCCCTCCCTCCAAGTACCCAGGCCCCACTCCCCGGGTGGACACCTCCCCCCCCCCCCCCGCCCGCCCGGAAGCCCCTCCCCTCGCCCACCGACGTAGAGGACTCCCTCCTTGGTCTTCTCCGCCGCCTCCGTGACCCCCTGCTTGGTTTTCTCCGCAGCGGCCACGACGCCCTCCTTGGCCATGGACAGGCCCTTCATGAATACGTCCATCCTGGCGGCCTAGGGTGGGCGAACACACGGGCGCGGTGCGCTTGCCCTGCACCCTCACCCCAGCCTTCCCGAGGGACGCGTTGGGGGGCCTCCCCTCCCTCCTAAGACCGTGGCACCCTTCCAGCCTGGAACCCCCTCCCGCCTTTCCCAGTCCCCAGCGCGAGGCCACAGGGCTTTGGCGAGTCCTAGCGTCCTTGAAACCCAGGGACGCGGGAGGGGCCACCGCCTCGGTTATCCGGGATCCCGCAACCTGCAGTCCCACAGAACCGAAGTGCCTGACTTCGCGAAGCCCCAGAGCCTAACTGTATACACACAACAGTGCCACACAGCCACGCACACAAACATACTCCATGGACACGCTCACGTGCACATACAGGGCACCCAGACGTTCAAACGCGCACTGACCTTCGACACACACAGGCACACGGGCGCGGACGCACCTCCACACGGCCACCCAAGCAGTTGCAGACACTGAGCAGCAGACACATACCCCGGAGCGCACAGTTACAGGCACCCACCGGCGCCCTCTCTCCGTTCTCCAGCCCCTTCCCCATTCTCTTCCCCTTTTCACCCAGTCCCTCTCCACGCACAACCACTTCCCCTCTCCATTCCAGTCCTTTCCTAGTCTCAGCTTCCAGAGTGCGGCCGCCTCACCTGGATACGGGGCCCGAGCTGGGGATGGAGCGGCGGCTGTGGCCAGAAGACACAGGGGCTCAGCTAGGCCGGACTGGGATGGGCTCAGGGCCGGTGGGGTATCAGCCGGGCCAGGCGTTTAGGTCAGTGTACAGTAGGCGGAACACAGGCCTTGGACCGGGCGCAGAATTGCTCGGGCCTTGGGTGCGTCGCCTGCCACCGCTCCGCCGTGAGCCCTGCGCGCTCGGGCTCGGGCTCCGGCTCCGGCTCCCGCTCCCGCGCTGCGGCAGCTCTGAGCTCAGCGCTCCCCCCTGGCGGCCGCGCCTCCCCCTCAGCCTGACTGACAAGGGGGCGGGGAGGGTGACATCTCCGCAGAGCCGGCTCGCCTCTGGGGCCCAGCCTGGGACTTGCCGCTGGGGACCCCGGGGCGTCAGACTCCTGTGCTGCCCCGACGATGCAGCGTGCTAAGAGTAGGGAAGAAAGAGAACCAATCGAGTTCAGATGGGTTTGAATATCGGCTGTGCTTTTACAAAATTAACTGTGGGGTCTTGAGCTACTCAGATCTCCTTTCTGAATGTTTCCTCTTCTGCAAAATACAGATGGTTCATTCAATGAACGGTTATTGAGCGCTTAGACAGGTGCCAGGCTGGAGACAGTAGAAAAGGAATACAAGGTTCCTGCTCTAGAGGAGCTAATCATGGTGTGTGTGTGTGTGTGTGTGTGTGTGTGTGTAGAGATGAGACATATGCCAGAAATTTTAAACCAAACAATGTTATTTCAGCTTGTGAGAAGCGTGATGAAGATAATAAAATGGTGACGTAACAGAGTGACTAGAGGAGGGAAACTTGAGACAAAGTGGTCAGGGAAGGCCTCTGTGAAGAGGTGAACGGATGCACAGATCCCAGAGGAGGCACCAAGGCCAAGATGGGTGAAGGCAGAATCATATAGAGAGAACTGCAGGTGCAAAGGCCCTGAGGCAGGACTGTATCTCAGAACAGATAAAAGGCTGTAAGTGCAGTTGGAGAGCCAGGAGGAAGAGAGAGAAGATGGACAAGACCACTTTTTGTATGGTTATGGTGGGGATTGTCAAAATGGGTCATAGAATTCCATGCACACATAGGCCCACAGAATTATACCCAAGCAGCTGGGATCCCAGAGGAAGGGAACTCCAACAGTTTAGGGGAGTTATGGAAGGATGTACAGAGGAGGTGACATCTAAGATAGGCGTCCTGGGTGAAGTAAGATTTCATTTGACAGACAAGGAAGGAAGAGAGTGTTGTTCAGTGGTTATAGCATGGGCAGGGGCACTATGGCTAGAAATGCAAGGTGTGTAAGTGACAAGTGATGAAAGGGCAGCCAGCAACCAGAGGGTGCAGGGCCCGGAAAACAAATGTTCACAGGTTGCTGGTAGAGCTGCAAATTGGCGCAAGCTTTTTGGAAGGCAATTTTGCAATGTTTACCAGTGACAGAAATGCATGCTCTTTTTGAGCCAACAGTTCCCCCTCCAGGAATTTATCCCTTGGATCTCTACTTGCGCAAGCGCACAAAGCCATTTGTGCAAGGATGTTCACTGCAGCATGGTTTCTTGTAGCAAAAAACTGAAAAGAAATGAAATGTCCTGTAGGGGACTGGCTAGTTAATTGTGGTACATCCACTTGGTGAAATGCTATGCTGCCTAGAAAGGATTAGCCAGGTCCATGTGTACTAACACCGGTGCCAAACTGTAAGGTGTGGGACAGGCCAATTTTGATATATATATATATATATATATATATATATTCATTATATAGACACATTATATACAAATATATACAGATTTATATCTGAACATACAAAGAACACATTTGCAAGGACTTCTTATAAAACCACTGACAGTAGTTGCCCCTTCTCTCCCTGAGAGAACTCAGGGAGAGCAGTTTTAATATTTTATCACCTTTGATTATTTTACCTTGAATAATATTTTATTTGTATAATTTTAAAAGCTGGCACAGGGGATATCCATCATTATCATTGGCCTTTCAGCACTGGAATTGCCCTCTTCCTATGTTCGGGGGATTCCCCACCGTATGAGACAGAGCCTACCTCCTCCTCTAGGAGCTTCCAATGCTTTCCCAGCCTTCTTTGCAGCCAGGACCTGTGATCTCAGCCCCAGACACCCCAGCCCCAGACTCCAAACCTGAAGTTAGTGCTAGAGCAACAGAGGATGAGGGGGTCTGCTCTGGTAAAGACAGGTGGTGTTGGTGGTGGCAGCAGTGACACTGCTTCTGGGAGCATTGAGCATGACAGGGCAGGCTGCGCGGTCTGTGCCCAGCCGGAGCATCAGGGAGTCTTCCTGGGCCTGCTTGACAGTGTGATTTGGGGCATCATTCCAGGTTTTGTCGTCTCCAGAGACAATTCTCTGGCCTTCCCATAGAGTTTCTGAGTTGTCCAGTATTGGTTAATAAATGTATATGCTTAAATTAGCCAGAAGTGATTTCTGTGATTCATGACTAAAAACCCCTGAATATCAGAGTTGGTGATAAGGAAGGACCCAGCAGGAGGGAGGAGAGGAGGAAGAGAGAAAGAAGATCCGATGAAGGGTATCTGTACTTCCTATTGTAAGAACTGGGAAGTCACTGTAGGATTTTTTTTTTTTTTATTTATTTATTTTTTTTAATCCCCTCCTTAGGACATTTTTCCATTTTTTGTTCAGGTAGAGTGGGAGGGAGAGAGAGGAAGAGAGAGAGAGAGAGAAACATCGATGTGAAAGGGACACATCGAGTGGCTGCCACCAGCACGACCGACCAGGGCCGGGGACAAACTGCAACCGAGGTACATGCCCTTAGCGGGAATCGAACCCGGGTCTCTCGGGACCGCAGGCCAACACTCTAACCGCTGAACCAAATTGGCCAGGGCCACTGTAGGATTTTAAGCACAAGAGAGACCTACATCAGATTTGCATTTTATGGGGCCAAATGGGGTTGGTTTGGAGGGGGACATGGCTAGAAGCAGCAAGATCACTTAGAAGAAGGCAGATGATAAGTAAAATGAATAAGTAAAATCTATGCTGCTGGGGTGGGTCTGAGGGCCTGGACAGTTCACTACAGTGGGTAGGGAAGGCCTCACCTGAGTTAGGAATGGAGGTAACAGCTAATATAAATTGCTAAGGCAGAAGTGGGTCCTTAAGATTACAAGGAGGTCAGTGTGGCTGGAGCAGAGGGAGCATGAGAGGAGGGCTGAAAGCTAATGGGGCTCTGCAGAGCCTGTACTCTGAGCAGAGGAGTGATGTGCTCTAACTTACATTTTAACAGCTGCTGTGTAGGTAGTAGATTGTTTATGGGCAAGGGTGGAAGCTGGGGGATCAGTTCACAGGCCATTGTCATAATATAGGCAGGATGACAGTGGCTTGGGCTGGGGTGGTAGCAATGGAGATGGATGAATTCTGGATCGATTATGAGGGTAGAGCTAAAGATAGCATGTGCTGATGGGTTAGAAAGAAAGGAGTCCAGGAGAATTCCAGAATTTTTGACTGAGCAATGAGAAGAATAGAGGAGATTGTAGGAGGAGCAGATCTGGGGATCTGGGAAGGTCAGAAATTCCGTATGGATGCAACAAATCTGAGGTAGAGGCACATTAGATACCCAGGTGGAGCTATGAGCAAACAGTTGGATGTGTTCTGGATTTCAGGTCTGGGCCTGACGTATACTGTACATGTGACATTTAATTCCCAAGGCTGGATGAGATCACAAAACAGCACATGTTACAGAGCAGAGAAGAGGTCGAAGGGCTTAGTACTGGGGTCTTCCAAAGCAGGGAGGAAGAACTATTAATTTTATTCACATCTGTGTTCCCCAATGCCTAAAACAGTGCCTGGTACAAAGTGACTGCTAGATCAATATTTCTTGAATGAATAGCTGAATGAATAAATGAATGAATGGTGCTAAGCGCTAAGAAGGAAATAAAACAGGGTCATGAGTTAAAGAATGCATGAAAGAGAATGATCTATTTTAGATAGGATGGTCAGGGAAGGCCTGTTTGAGAAGGTGACATTTGAGCTAAGACTGAAGGGCAAAGAAGAGAGATGTCATGTAGAATTGCGAGGCAACAGCAAGTGCAAAGACCCTGAGGCAGCAGTATATATGGCCTGTTGAAAGATTCTTGTGCTTAGGGTACTGTAAGGCTGAATCAAGCAGGAATTTGCAGGCCCAGAACCTGGACTTTAAATCACATCCTGGATTTCCTGGAGGGTTTTAAACAGAGCAGTTAATTGATCAGATAAATATTTTAAATGATTTCTCTGAGGCACATGGAAAATGTTCTGTAGGAAGGCAGGAGTGGAAACAAGAAGAGTGTTAGGATAGCCCAGGCCAGAGATGGCTGGGCTTGTCTGGCATGGGAACAATGTGGAAGGAGAGGATATTTTAGGAACAGAATAGCAGGATTGGGAGCTCCTGCTTGTTCAACACCACTGTGGAGATCTCCCCCAAAGGCTGATTTGAAAGGGCCTTGGACAGGGGCTAGACACCAGTAGGGCAAGGGTGTCTCCTTAGTCACCGAGGCTGAAAGATGTGGAAGATGGTGGGAAAGGGTACTGTGGCTGGCAGAGTCATTCCATGCCGAGCTCTGGACCAGGACTCTAAGGCAGCTAAAACCATGCCTGGCACTTTGGGAGGGTCCTTTTGTCACTGGAAAGGAACAGGGTCAGGAGTGGGTCTGCCTCGGGCCAATCTGTAGTGTGTGGGTTCTTGCTTTTGTGCAGGAAAGATTTCACAACATGAGTCCAGGTGATTTTGAGAGTATGTTTATTAAAGCTGGGGACAGTGAAACAAGAAAGGACCTATGATAGAAGAAGCAATAGGAGAGGGCCTAGGTGGAGCTGCTTTGGTTCTCCGGAAATGTTATAGGAAGGAAATGAGAGTGTAGGCAGGGTTGCTTTGGTTCACTGAGAGGTCAGAGAAAAGGGGGCCTTGGACACAAGTTCAGGGATTTAGCCTGGGACAAGCTGCTGCTGCCCATTGCTCCCCTGGTTGCAAGTCTCATGGAGTCCCTTGGAGTTAGGAGATGCATACTTTGGGGGGGGGGGGGAAGAAGAGGGGTAAGGGAAAAGTGCAGGTGTGCTCCCAGGAGGAAGAGCTTGCTCTGAGTCCTTTATCTTGAGGGTTTTATTGTTTTAAATTTTTTTCTTTATTGATTTTAGAGAGAGAGAGGAAAGGAGAGGGGGAGAGAGATAGAAACATCGATGAGAGAGAACATCAGTTGACCACCTCCTGCATGCCCCCCACTGGGGAT